ATGTAATGACATAACATACTTCATACAACATAAGCCACATGAAAACGAGCCAGTTTACAGGTTTGATCACCGTAGCAACAAGAACTCATCGTTATGTTCAGTAACAAGCAGTAAATTAGACACAGTTATTCAAAGCACATAAGAGAGTGGTTTACATAAAGAACGTTAACGTTTTGCAGGCAGTAAAGAATGGTGAGCCGCACGTCACGAAGGCGAATGCAGGAGAAAAACAGGGCATGCCATTTGTAGTGTAATTGGCATAGGGAGTCAAACTTTCACAGCTGCAAGAAGTAACGCAGATTCTGTGACAGAGGCGTTGGCAAGAGCAGGTTCAAATACTAGAGCAACCTAGCTAAACGGGGAGGCTGCAATGCGGATAGTTCATCTCGCCTTATGGTGCAATGGAAACAGGGGAAAACATGTCTTAAACTTATATTAGACCTGACGCAAAGTGGTGTGTAGCATAGTGATAGCGTGACTGTTGGGCAGCTGAGTTGACCATCAACTCGACACAGTAGCGCGTCAAAATTGTGCGACGTAGTGGATTTCAAGTACTATAGGGCAAAGCTAACAGACGTGAAGATTTTATCTAGCCAGGTGTTTGTGAAACTGTGCACACCAAGACGAGGAAAATCTCCGAGCTATGGCAAGACAAGACAGGTGACTTTACGGAACTTCGCCAAAATGCCCAGCATGCCTTAAGTGCTGTTCGGTCCATTTGCTTACTTTTTCGAAGCAAGTCAACCTCCAAAAGAGTCGAAGTCCTCTCTCTTTTCGCTTATCTACAATACAGAAAACCGGAAAAGCCTGTGCACTTACAGGTCGATAGCGTCAATGTTAACGCTTGCCAAGATGATAGAAAGCCTAGTACCCGTAGAAAAGCACCACCTTAAACTTAGGTAACGATCCTTTATGTTACAGTACAGCAAGTTATGGAATAAGCTCCCACATTTTATTCGTTCTTGCATGTCCGCATTCCAGTTTCGACGTCTGCTCAACGAATTTCTTTTCATGGATATCTATAAATTTCTTGACATTCATATTATGTAAACAAATACTAAGCATAATGGAGCATTTGGCACACAACAATGGTCGAGCTACTGCATCCACTGTCAACGTACTCAGACCTCTAAATGTAAGAATCGGCTTTATTAAAGCCCTGCAGTTCCTTCAATGCAGATGGCAGTACGACTGCATACAAGGGTGTGAATACTGTCTCCTCTCCGAATAATTAACTTAAAGAATACTGTTCACCTCTCAAAGCCACTACCGTACACCCCCCCCCCCCGAAAAAGACTTAAGAACCTTATAATGGGAGGACTATGTAGTTGACTTCACATATATACATGAAAATGTACATAAAGCCCTAATAATTAAAAAAGGAATAGGGACTTTTCTCTTCTCCGAATTTGATAGCGAAGTAATTTCTCTTTCCATATCTGCTCGTGCCTCTTCTTTCTTTCCCCATCTGCAGAAACAGCTGCAAGTCGACATTTGATGTTCAAATTCAGTCTGAACGTGATTACTTTATGGGAATAGCACCTACTCATTGACGCCTATAATTATTGGACTGCTCCCACTCTTTCGCAAATTCTGGACCATCTTCAAGATTAACTCACCTACTGGTCATGATTTTTCTTGCAACGAACCGTCTGACCATTCCCAACAGTATTAGTAGCAGAGACATTCTGAACAGGTGATCAAACCAGTGACCAATTAACATATTGGCTCAGGACGTCATTTGCCTGCATTGGCTCCACACCAAACATTTTCTAGTACTCTGTACCAAGAGACCTTTTCATATGAAACCTACTACGCATCAAATACACTTCTCGAATGATGCCGCCTACACTAATACAAAAGATACCCGAGGTCTATGTATAAATACTGCCACTTGGACTACTGACTGTTTCAATATCTATTTTCATCCAATACAATAAGTATTCCCAGCGGAATTAATCTATATTACCTTTACACGTGACATGGTGACCTGGAGATGCATTGATATGGCCATACTCGTTGGTTACATAACTGTGGATACTTTATTGATACTCCGAATTGTATAAATGAGTTCTTTGTGGTCAGCAAAGCTAAAAACTGAAGATCATTCTAGGCAATAAACTGCTTTATTACTAATCGGCAAACTATGCGAATGGACTGACAACGTCGGTTGGTTATAACGCAAGCCTTGAACAGTGCGCGCTTTTGATATTGAAAATGGAACCTTTCCGTGAGATGGGAGATGGAAATCCATATCCGTCTCATGAATTTCAGTGAATTTTAATAAGGTTATGCACACTAATGACTTGATATGTAAATACCTAATACTAGATACCAGTTCGTAAGCTTCCAAAAATTATGAATTTGAAGGTGCTTGTAAACTGGTGTCCCTCATGTTAACCCTGTTAAATGAAGACAATATTTACTATAATCCAAACTTTAACACTATGTACGCTGTAAAGTAATATTTTCTTGTTCATTTCATAACTAGCAGAACCTCCGGCAGTTTTTAATTGAGTTTAGTGACATTCTGTCAGTACCACTGAAGGCTCAAGTCTTGTAGATATTTTGAGATGTATCAACGTGGTGGAACCTGTAAACTGGCTTCTCTCATGTTAAAATCTTTTTTTAACGCGAGAATGAGACATTTATTTATTCATTTGGTTACAGAAGCCGTTTGGGGCCACACAAACAGGAGTAATAACGTCAACTTCACTCAGCACAGCTTCAGGACCGGATGGTCATATCCCGCAGACCCGAAGCCTGCTTGAGATGACCAAAGAAGTATGTAGGACTGTAACCAGTTAGTCATGGTCATATTTCTGGATCTAGTCGAAGCCTTGGATAGAGTCTCACTCCGAACCATGCTTGTTAAACTCGCAAAATGGGCATAATAGAACCATTCACAGTGATGGATTTCAATATACCTAGAATGCTTAGAGCTCTGCGCTAATGTAAGCAGGGTTTGATCAGTTTACTCTAACCGCCCGTCCCCCTGATTACCGATGATTTCAAATTATGGAGGATAGTGGGTGAGGAAAAGAATCCTAGGATACCCGAAGACTGTCTGCTGCAGTTGGACAGGTGAGAATATCTTGGGCTCCAACCTCGAGAGTTTCAGAATGACGTATATTCAAACGACAGGAGCGATGAAAGCTAGCTACACCCTTAGAAATAGTGCAGTCACTATGGTGTCCACGAGAAGGATCTAGGAGACAACTTTTCTGGCACACCAGATATAAATGTCAACTATAAGGCGAGGGCGACTGCGCTGAACACCACCATACACTTCCTAAGGAGGCAACTCAGAGCTCTCACCACGTAATTATCTCGTAGTGTATTGAAAACTTACATAATACCGTACTTGGAGGTGCTAAACACATCAAGTGCTCTCGAGAACGTGGAGGGTGGGGTTGGCGAGGCCATCTGTCGAACATACAAGAAAAAACTTTGGAAGGGCCCTTGACAACCCTACTAACACACATTAGGCAGTCAAAGGGAAAGAGGCCATCTAATAAAAGCCTTTTTGATCATTCATCAGGTAAATCACCCCAACTCGACAAATTTGTCGGTCCAGGGTAGACAGTCTGATGGAAAACCTGCTGGACCCGGGATTTGAGCTAAGGGTCAGGGCAATTTACTGTGGACAATTACCCAGCACCAAACAGGAAGGTAGTGGCAGCTGCCGAACGTGTTTATTGTGGGCACCGAGGTGGGCAAGCGATGCATGTAACTTGAACAAGCATATTGAAGGTTGTTTCTGGTTCAGTAAGAGTTAATAAAAATACTGAGCCTACAAAAAATTAAGGATGAATTTGTGACACCCTTTACTGGGCACCACAATCTAACTCCTGTGTCCCAGGAGACAGCCAAAACGAAAGGTGAATCTAACTTTTCTTACAGGACGTGTGCACTATCAGATGCTTAGGAATTGTCCTGGCACGAACTTGACAGACCCAGAGGCCAATCGCTAATTATCCAACTTTGTTATATACCCACGAATACGAGACCAAGGAAGAACACAACAGCGTAGTCGGATGGAGTAGTATATTTGGGTGGTTATGCCAAAATACCGGTGCGTTCTCCAACTTACTGGCTACAGGGTCGATTACCAGCAATGCAACGTAACACGACAGCGTACCAAATGACGAGGATGCTTGACTGGGTGCCTTCAGCTTAGCGAGTCAAGTTAAACTATGAAGGTCAGCATCAATGTTGAATCTCGTCAGACCCTAGGCTACTTATTTTGGGGGAGTATGTGACGCTACAGATGCTTTGACTAAATAAATCTCCACAACCACCTTAATTGAATCTTTAAAATGGATACTCGATTACAATGTGAGCCCAAACGAATTGTCATCAATATACGCCAGCAGCAACTGAAGGCATATTCCTGCATTCTTGCTCTACCCATTCTTATAATCTACATTATTAACCCTCTCCAGACTATTGCTGGTAACATTTATTTCCATAAGAAATTTTCACTTACCATTACTCACATTTCTCGAACTAATTTTTGTACAACGCCTAATGCTTACTCGTAGGCTTCCATGAAGACAGGAATTGTAGGCAAATTGACCCAATCAGCAGCTCCGTTGCTTTCCCAAGTAAAACAGTCTAGAATTTGCAAAAGAAAACCTTTGAATAGACAACCACTGGCTGAAAAGTTTTGAGCAAGTAGAGTAAAGAAAATGAATCACTAAAAAAATCGGTTCTGTAAACCCGGACAAGAGAGTTCATGAACTACAAAATTCCTCCGGTCTCAATACTCGTGTTGAATGCTGTTATTGTTGACAATTTCACTTTTTCAGCGATATTTGGCCAACAGATGAAGAGAAAATAAAAAACAAGAACCTCTCCAATTTGCTTCTGTCTTCAAAGCCATGTGAAACGTGATGAAATCTTCGGTCCTTTTTAGTTTTGTTTTACTATTCTGTGAAAAGTTTGTTGTTGTGGCGTGCTGTGGTAACCATTCAAAATGAGTTGCTTATACAATAAAAATGGCAGAACTTAGTTATCACATGATGAGGTCGGCTAATCAGGCTAGAGAAGCTGTAAGACATATAATTCACTTTAGATATTTACGCAGGAGGAGCAACGTACAACGGCAAGAAAAAAGAACTTGCTTATTTTAGTAATGCACTATTTGAGTGAAGAGGGGTAATTCCTAATATTATTAATGTTTTGAAAGGTACGTTGAATCAGCACTGTCCCTTTCAAAGGAAACTAATTTGGATTTTCATAAGTATGAAGTGTGTGATAATGTGGACTTGGAAACAGTTTTACTAGAATATGAAAGTTACTACTTTGTTAAGTTCCAGAAGTATCCAAGGATTACTAAGAAGATATCAGGTTTTTAAATTAAGACCTATTATTCGATTGAATTTAGATAAAATGCCGAAGGCTGAGAGGGTGCGACATGCAGATGGCTCGGCGAAGACAAGAAAGTAGGTATGTCTTTAATTGAAAACTAGTTTATAAAGACGACCTTCTCTTCCACATTTAAACACTCGACAGAACTCTGTGCATGATACAGGGCCGAATTATCAGCAAAATCTCCCGAATATTGACGAAAATATAAATGCAAACAAAGTAAGATTATTATCTGTAGATATCTTATGCAAAAAGTGTTTAATCCGTCCATGATTACAAACTGTGGAGTTTATGTTCATCGCGACATAAGAATTTATTTTATACAGCAATCTTAACGTCAAAAGATCGGTTCATTGCGTCTGTGAGAGTCATATCACTAACTTTCCTCTTTGCTACCACCAAAATTAAGCTTCCATTTCTGTTCATCCTTCATTATAAATTGGATGTTCATCCAGAGTCAGCTGGCTATTTCATATTATTGCACCGAATACTATTATTATTAATATCATTCCGATGCAATACCTATTTTGTCTGAAAGTATTGTTGTGGGAGTGAATCGTTGAAAAATTACATGCTGGGAATTCCATACTGCCATGCATATTATTTGGAATAAAGTGATTATTACTATTGTTGTGTCATTCCAAATTTTAAATTTCAAAATTATCTTAGTTCTTGGAGTGAAACGAGCAGTCAATGCTCCGGATGTTATTTTAAGCGTCATAAGTTGATCTATGTTTATATCCTAGAAATGACTATTTACTTGCGAGGTGAATCAATGCACTTGTGCGTAAGGTTCTACGGTAATTCTGTCTATCTCTCTGCAAAGTGATTTAAATTGATGAATGCAATAACCCTTTATATTCGCTGAAACCTTGACCAGAGACGAATACATAACTGCACATATATATGCATATGTATATTTATATATGTTTTCATTCTTTATCCGAAATCTACGTCACAGTGCATCCTAGTAAGAAGTAATTGGCTGATACTATGATTGAATGTTACTTAGTAGAACATAAAGGCAACTAATAACAGTAAAAAACCTTGCCCTAAAACAGAAAATTCAAAAGAAATGAAAATGGACATTGAAATGTTTTCCAGTACTTATGGGTTAAAAATCTGTTTTTTTAAAACCTTTCACACTTGTAAACTTGTCTAAAGTTAACTGTACTATAAGTATTGAAAGCAAGCATAAAGGAATTGCTACATACCAACTGAATGTGAGTTTAGAATGTAATCTGAGACCTAGAGGGCAAACGTCTAGAACAAATGCCAAATAGAATGCTACAAGTATTCAACTCAGGTTTGCAAAAATGCTTCACAGAAAAATTATATGATGAAATCAAGGTTATTCAAAATTTTTTTGTGTTCACTGTTTACCTGCAGTAAATGAGTGATTGGTAAAATTCTGCTAGTAACCTTTTACCTTCGATATTCCAAACCATATCTCTTTTAAAGGTTGGCGTAATCTCTTATGACAAGGCAGAACTTTGAGCCCATAATTTTTATCTTTGTCATTGATATGAATACACTGATGCTCTTACAAAATTCGGAATTCCGCCAGAACACATAAAATATCGAAGGCTGCTTCTACCTTTACTGAAGCTATTTCACTTTTTGAAGGATTGTATCTGCTTCTGTTTGAAAAGAAATTATCAACTTCGATTTTTTGATCTTTATGAGATTTTATTTCTCAGTAAATGCTAATATCGCTATGCATTCTGTCTATGGTATAAAAAGTAAAGTAATTACGCTCCTTATCTAGGATATTTTGGAAGTCAGTGTCAATCGGCCTAATATTGCCTATATCTTTGAGGAGTCAAAATACTGGTTTACGAAATATGTCAGAATGACATCATTAATCATTATGAATCAAGTTAGAAAGTCGGTCCATTTCTTCCCATCCATAATGATAAACTTATAGTGTAAACGTTGTGCATCGGGTATCTTATAAACCTTACAGAATCATCCTACTAAGGATATTTAACATTTTAAAGTCATATACTTTTGTTTTCCTTATGTGAAACAATCTTAGATGAAATGTAGAAGTCTTTCACTGAGTAGATAGCTAGGTTAAGATACACCATTCCTTTGGATTTCAAATTTCAATGTATAAAGTTTTCTCTAGTTGAGACTGGGAATTCAAGCCCGTTGATTTTTTCAAGTCAAACGAACATATGAGAACTTATTTTTTCTATAGTATTATCTATTGCGAACCTGAAAATTTTGTCAAAGCTTTTTTATTTCTTTCATCCTTCAGTATATTTTCTTCTTTTTGCTTTTAAATACTTGCAAAATATGGTAGTAATCTTACAAAAATTCTTTGCAGAGGATTGATTTTGCATAAATATGAAACTCATGCTTCTAGCAGAACATAAATTAAGTACGATAGATTGTTCATCGGGATAAATAGGGTTACATATTTGGTTCAATTATTTTCAATCATAATGTTTAATTAATAGCTTAAACATTATGCACTGGTGGCAGTACTCAGACCTCAACTTAGCTCTGTAGGCTATATATTTAGGTACGATACTTAAAACCTTATTTTCAGGTTGGTTATCAACATAAATTGACACCAGTTCGAGAACTGTTGGGAATCCAGGACCACTGAACACTTATTTTGTCCCAGTATGGGAATCCTAAGTAGTAGAAACCCGTGATCATGTCCATAAATCATTGGAACCTGAATCCCCAAGTTCCGTGCCTAACACGTTAAAATTGAGCCGTTAGGTTGGAATCCAGTAGTCGATATTTTCAACTTCTATCAGTTCACGATATACCATGACCCTCATCTAATACCGACGTCGAGTAATAGTCCTCACATCCGAATCGGTTGGCTCAATCGGTCACAAAATCCCATCGGAACTTCTGAAATTTCATTGCAAAGCAACTCATTATTACCCACTACAGTGGGTGGGTGCTGACGGCTGAGGATTCGCATGCTGGGACGAAACAGCAACCTAGTGCACCCAGGTTACTACTATCCATAAATATGTCTGCGACGATAGGGGATATTGGTGATCCCTTGCCAACCTTTTCAGTTTGTTTATATATTTTGTTTTGAAACTTATAAGCTGTAGAAGTCAGGCACGATCTCATTCTTAGCATGATTTCCTCGACCGGCACCTTAATTCTATGCGTAAGCTCATTGTCATCCTTAAGCCCATTACTGACTGCCTCGAAAACCATGTTGATCGGTACATTCGTGTAAAGGCTAGTTATGCTACAACTGACCATTTTTCACTATCACCTAATCTTTGCTTTAAGTCATAAGAGTTATTAAGTCGAGATTTTGAGTGATTTCTAATTAGGTCTAGCATCATACCTAAATATTTACACAACTCACTTGGAAACAAGCTTTGTAGATTAAAAGATCCTATTGATGCAATTGAGCAAAATAATCTGGTTTGCCGAATCTCATTGCAATGATTGAGAGGTCAAATACATACGCCAAAGTAGTCCACCAGGGTCAACAAGAACAACAGAGCACAAATTCTTAGCTAAATTAAGATTAGTAGATTCCAACAAGATAAGAAATTTAAAGAAAAGCTCGATTATAGCTGTACATGCAACTACACACAATCACACAGTAGTGTGGAATAGAGTAACCACATTAAAATCTGACTTAGTTGGGCGAAGAGATAGAGAGATTGATAACCAACTGAATCCTTGTTTATCAAATCAACACTAAACACTTGCAGTGATAGAAATGATTTTGCACTGACCCAGAAATGGACAATCAATTATCCCCAAATGGTTATTCAGTGAATGAAACTGTTTCTCTATGTGATATTTCTAATAAACAGACTGAAATGAAATTACGATCCATCACAGTGGCCAAGTTTTACTCCTTCTCATCTTCATATGGTTCATTCTTATTTCATTAGTAATTGTTTTCTTTATTACACCCCCATACTGCTCCTTAAACAGTCAAATGAAACTTCGAACATAATTACAACACCCAATCTATTTTGAGACTGACTGAATAAGATACTTGAGTTGATTAGAAATATGATGTTCTCAGTTATGATATCATGATTACTATTGAAGAAGGAAAAGATAATGTCGAGAAGAAATTGAAATAACTAAGTCATAGTTTACATCAAGTTATTCAATCATTCACCTCTTAAGTTTCATAACAGCAACGTGTTTCTCTCAAGTTATATAGTCTGTACACTTAACAGTAATTTGAAGCGATTTCTTGTTAGTTTAGAATGACCGCTCTGTAGGTAAACTACTTAAGTGTATGTACTTCTTAAATCATTCTTATGTTATTTATAAATCTCTACATTTAGAATGAGTTTTCTTTGAGGTATAGTTTTAGTTGGTGAATGCTGCAATATTATGAGAACATGTTTGCCAAGGCTTCCTAATGAAGTCAATCTGAAACTCCACACTATGTACTACAAAATGTCGAAGTGAATGAACTTGTATTATGATAGTGATATTTTTGACCAATATGATAGTCAATTCAACTAGGAGGTCAGGCCGTTAGCACCCACCCACTGTAGTGGGTAATAATGAGTTGCTTTGCAAGGAAATTTCAGAAGTTCCGATGGGATTTTGTGACCGATCGGGCCAACCGATTTGGATGTGAGGACTATCACTCGACGTCGGTATTAGATGAGGGTCATGGTATATCGTGAATTGACGGAAGTTGAAAATATCGACTACTGGATTCCAACCTGTATGATAGTCAGTTGAATTTGGAGGTTTGTAGGGATTCATTTATTGACTTCAGGTTGATATTCATCATTCGGAGAACCACTAGAAAGATTGATAACCGACTTAATCTTTGTTTATCGAACACCAAATCTATGTAGTGGTAGTAATGATACTTTACCTGTTCCAGATATGTTGAAAATTCCACTTCTCTTGTCACAGAGAAGGAGAGAAAATTAGGACTATATAAGCTCTATCTCGAAGTTGTGACTTTATGTGGTTGAAATTTGAGCAATGAATAGTGTCGGAAGCGTTTTTATTCGGCAAATGTTACTGTCTCCTTGTATGACGTTTTTAATAAACAGGTTTAAGCGAAGTTACAATCTACCATAGTGCCCAAGTTTTACTCCTATATTAGTGTTTCTAATCGAGTTTATCGGTTTAAATGGCATTCTAATCCCACTCTTATGAAAAATTCTTCATATCACCTCTGTGGATGTCTTCTTTGGATAACATTACATTAAAATAATGAGTTATACTTTGGATATTAT